GTCCACATCTGACTGCCTAGGTTTATATCCAAGCTCTTGCTGGCAGTGGTGGTGTAGGCTTTGGGAGGAAGAGGCAGGAGGATCTCAAGTTTTGAAAGCCATCCTGGGCTACACAGAGATACATACCGAAAAAAATAATAAAAGCAAACCAATCGACCTTCATTCTACCATGTGGCCAGGCTTCTAAGCCTTGTGCCCCGAGCTTCCTGCTCTGTACCTGGGGAGAACGGCAGTGCAGAGAGCCAAAGGCTTGCTGTACAGCTGAAACAAGCAAGCATGCTTCAGCACACTGTGGCAGTGGGGTTCTTAGCACTTCAGGAAGCCCGTGTGGCGCAAACTGGAAGGAATGCTGGGTCTGAAAAGTCAGCGTACCCTGGGTGGATGGTCCCAGAGGCAGACTGGTCTTCACGTGAAGATTTCCTCTTTGGAGATCCCGCTGGTCTTGGAGAAACAGAAGATCTTGGCGGAGAGAGGCAGCCTTTGGAAGTAGTAGCTCGGGTGCCTGGGGGCGGGGGAAGGATGGTCATCTGGGCCATAGAGTCAGGACTGGGATGGGCAGAGAGGTCACGGGGTATGGGCACATACTTTCCCTACAGGCAGCCCCAGCGTATGGCTCAGCAAGATGTGGCTGCAACTCCTTGGGGTAGCGGGGTGCAGCTGCTGGATGGACGGTAGGCTCTTGGATAGCGGCTTCAGACTGGGGGCGGCAACAGAGCACTAAGCTGCTGGATTTCCAGAAGCTCTGGGGGTGGGGGGCAGGGACTTAGAGGCTGGCCTAAGGACTGGGAGACCAGATTGAAGCTAACGATAGGAGGGTGAGGTTTGGCAGTCTGGGGACCCTGTGTGCACGTGCACATGCACGTGTGTGGTGGCCCAAGGTGGATGTCAGATGTCTTCTTGATCACCTTTATTTCCTCAGAGTGTGGCTCTCGTCTACCTGAACCTAGCCCTGGAGTTACCCAGTTGAGTGGTGTGTCATAGGGAAGACAGGGCTAGCCCCAGTCTCACCCTTTGGCATGGTACCTCAGCAGGGGGCCCAGCTGAATGTGGGGAAGGTGTTGGGCTTCTTTCTTTAAGCAGTGGAGCAGTTCCTGGCTCTGGGGTGCCACCGCCTCTGAGGTGGGAACGACCTTCTGCTGCATCAGAGCCAGCACCTGTGGGGCGAAGAGGGTGGGTGGGGTGGTCTGGACCCACCCTCTCTAGCCCCACCCCTCTCTAGCCAAGCCTGGCTCGACATTCACCTCACCTCCTCTGGGCCCTGGCTCAGGCGGGTCTTGCTGACCGAGTTATCCTTGATGAGCAGGCGGATCCGTTCCTGGGTCTCCTCCTGGAGAATCAGGAGGCCCCATGACCCTAGGCGCCTGTTCTTCCCACTGCCCAGAGCTGCCCGCCCCGTCTTACAGGGTGGAGGTCCTGCTTCTTCTTCACGGGAGTCTCACCCCGGGTCCCCTCCCCACATAGAGGCCCAGTTCATTTGTTTGTTCCTCCCCTCCCTACCCCTTAAAACGTTTTTAGAGTTATTTGTTTTTATTTTATGTGCACGGGTGTTTTGCCTGTATAGATGTCTATGGACTAAGTGCATAATACCCCCAGAGGCCAAAAGAGGGCATCGGAGCCCCGGGAACTGATGTCCCACCAATGAGCTGCCATGTAGGTGCTGGGAATTGAACCCAGGCTGTTTGGAAGAATATCCAGTATTACTTTTTTTCAAGACAGGGTTTCTTTGTGTAGCCTAGAAGTAGCTCTGTAGACCAGGCTGTGGAGTGTTGGGATAAAGGTGTGCGCCGCCACCGTCCAGTGCAGCCAGTACTCTTAACGCTGAGCCATCTTCTCAGGCCCCGGAGGCCCAGCTCTGCGTCTCTAGGCCTCACACCTCCACTCTGACCCACCCACAGGCCCAGCCTCTCACCACCAGCTGATTTGACCGCAAGATCTGCTGCTGCTTGGCCTGCAGCTCTCGAAGCAGAAGTTTCCGGGACCCAACCGCATTCTTCAGTTCCTGGCACTGGGCACGAAGAGACGTGAGCTCTGCCTTCCGGCCACTGCACTTAAGCCCCAGCAGCAGTGCTTTCCTAGGGGGTGGGGAGGAAGCGAAGACAGCAGAGACTGGCAGCCACATGGGGGAGATGAGATCCTCAGGGAGCCACGAGGAACCCCAAACACAGGAAAGAAGCACCAGGAGAGGGAGGAGGAGTGTGGGGCCCCAGAGTCGACAGCATGCAGTAACGCAACCTCTCGGGAGAGGACTCTGCTGGAGGATGCTCTGTACCTCTCACTGGACCCCGGAGCATGTCTTCCCACCACCTCCTCCACCAGGCTCTGGAGGCGGCCAGTCAGGGCTTGATGCTCCTCCAGGAGGACATTCCTCTCGGTATATAGTGCACCTATGGCCTGCCAGCCCTCCTGGGGGTACAAGGTCTGTGTGGGCGTGGCTGGTCCATGGGGAGAGGGGTTCGGTGGGTCTTAGGGAAGTGTCTCAGGGTTACCTGGATGAGATGAACAACGGGTGGCAGGGCCTGGCGGGAGCTTGATGGCTCTGGCGCCTGGGGGCTGGGTGGGGACAGAACAGCTGAAGGAGCAGCCCTCTATTCTTGTCTTGACGAGTGCGGTCGTCAACATTAGTCTTCCCCTCCCCAGCTGTCGGCTGCCATTTATTTCCACCCCGTGCAGGGTGCCGATGCCGCTCCTGGCTCTAGGGACATTTGCTGCACACCTGGACGGCGCCTCTTCTTTGAGCCCATCCCCACTACACAGGGACCAGATCTCTTTCTCCCGCTCTGCAGCCAGGTACTTCAAGGCAGCCAGGATGTGGCCTGCAGGGTGGTTTGTCAGCAGGGTCTGGTAGGGAGGGACAAAGTGGGAAATCAGGGCAGGATGGTGAGGCAGGGATGCAGGCCAGGTCTCCAGGGAAATGACTTCTGGGTAGATGGTTAGGGTAGGGCAACTGGAAGTCTCAGCAGCAGGATCCGGTTCCCTTTCCCAGCAGCCCTGCCCTCTCACCTCAACTGAGCTCAGCCACTGCTGATGGGAACTTCTGAAGTGGTCATCATCCTGAGGGCTTCGGTGGATTTGGGTAAGGGGACAAGAGGAAATGCGGTAGGACACACCAATTACCCTCTAATTATCACCACTACACGTAAGTAGGCGCTTTCCTTGTGCCCAGTGTACAGACAAGGACACTGAGTCCATATGTGATCACTAAACTTGAGCTCCCCAAGTATCTG